ATGCACATGAGTGGGGAAGGGGTAGAGAGAGAGGCAGGGGGCAGGGATAGAGGATCCAAAGCAGGCTCTGTGGTGACAGCAGAGAGCCCAATGTGGGGCTCGAACTCACAAACCATGAGATCATGACCTGGGCCAAAGTCGGACACTTAATAGACTGAGGCATCCAGGTGCCCCTGGAATATGTATTTTTAAAAGTTTCTTGGAAGCACAGTTAGTTCAGAAAATTAACAGAGATTTGGAAAACTGGGAAGGATACTATCTTTATTAAAGTTAAAATATCTTTATTTGAAAAGGAGTCAAAGGACATAAAGCAGATGATTAAACAGTGAAAAGCAGTGTTCTGAAAATGTAGACAAAAAGGGAGATATTGAAAAAGAAACAATGAAGATATAAGTGAACAGAAAAGGATACAGAAGAACGCAGGTAATTATATACAGGACTAACTTGGAAAAATATTAATTTGAAAAACTAAAGAGAAAAATTTTATAAATACAGTATAAAATTAACACTTAAAGCTCAGCATACCATGAAAAATTTTGAAGTGTTTCTAATCAAAGAGACCAAGCAAGAGGATGTGCATGGGTCCAGCAGATATGTGTTCCTGGAAATACTCAAAGCTAATGGTGGTCCCTAGAGTCACATTCCTAAGCAAAAGAAAAAGGTTCTTCATAATGCTCAGGCCTGCAACCATAGAAAACTGTCCTTCAAAACATGTGACTTCTATGTTTAGTTTTTTTCATTTTGCTAAAAATAGGCTTGATGAGAAAGTATAAAGACTAAAGAAGCATCCACTGAGTCTCTAAGGCTTCTGAGATCTAAATTTGAGACTACTTCTCTAGTGCTCATAGGAAAGGAATAAAGTAGAAGCTCTAAAAGATTGGGGTAGGGGGTGGAGGGTCCTTGATGAAAAGCAAGGAAGTTTCTGAGGACATAAGTTAGAAAATACAGGTTATTAAGCATTCTCTTTCATGAGATTAAAAATATTAAATCTTTCATTTTTATTTATTTGCAAGAGAAAGCACACAAGTGGCGGAGAGGGGCAAAGGGAGAGAGGGAGAGAGAATCCCAAGCAGGCTCCGTGCTCA